CCCTAAACCCTAAACCCCTATGATGAACACCGAGGTCTCCGAGTGGCTGCTTCGGAAGGCCTCCTGCCCGCTTTGCAAGCAAGAGAATCCCGGCCCCGAGCCTGGAAAGGAGCGTTTCCACATCGACATGTCGCACCAGGACATCTGGGTTCTTCTTAAGGGATATTTAACTTAAGTTACCAGAATACGGNNAACCATATTATTTACTAGAGATCCCTATTTTGGTAACTTAAGTTAAACCCCTTAGCAAGAACCCAGTCATGGCTTGGTCTCGGGTTGGGGGTTTACAGGGGTTTAGGCTTTCGGGCGTTAGGTTTTTAGGGTTCAGGGCACAAGGCTTAACATAAGGTCAAACCCTAAACCCTAAACCCTACCCGTGTCTAGCAACAGGAGATGGCGCAGTTCGTGAATGAGCTGGAAGACATCTTTCATGCCATCCATGCTGGGGTCAGCGAAGACTATGCCGTCGCCTTGCCCGCCATCACCTACAACCTCTGCGTCAGCCTGGGCTACGAGGACGCCTTTTCAGACGAACCCTATGAAAGAATTCAGCCATAACCCTGAACTCTGAACCCTACGGCCCTCAAGGACGAGAATGAACCCTTGAAACCTGCCCCACGAGGATGATCAACCTTAAAGTTCAAAAGCCCGGAACCCATAAATCCCTTATCAAACCTATACAACAAGACGAAAGTCTACAATCTATACTGGACCAGTCTGCGAAGTCTTCTAAGATTGCTATAAACCCACAGCAAACCCCGAAACCGTTCCAAACGACCAGAAAATCCTGAACCCTAAACCCTAAACCCCTAAACCCTAAACCCTAAACCTAAATCCTAAACCCTAAACCCTAAAAAAAAAAACCATCGCAGCGCCCCTGAAAGGACGAGGATGAGCTGGAGGAGGCCAAGGGCGACCAGGGGCTCCCCCTGAACCCTCAAAGCAGGGATTTAGGGATTTAAGGCAGTTTAGGGTTTAGCGTTTTAAGGCAGTTTAGGGTTTAGGGTTTTAAGGCAGTCTAGGGTTCAGGGGTTTAGGGTTTAGGGTTTAAGGCAGCCTCGGCTGAAGAACGGCAGAGGAGGCAGTGCTGGCAGTCATCAAGACCGGTTTCAACAAGGGTTTAAGGCAGTTTAGGGTTCAGGGGTTTAGGATTTAAGGCAGTTTAGGGTTTAGGATTTAAGGCAGTTTGGGTTTAGGGTGTAAGGCAGTTTAGGGTTCAGGGGGGTGGGTAGTTTTTTTGGGTTTAGGGCTTTTTGATTGGGGTTTAGGGAGCCCCCACAACCCCTAAATGTAGATTCCTGCGTAAGGCTATTCAAACCATGAACCCTGATCACAGGTTCTGCACAGATGTTGAACAAACCTACGCCCTAAGCCCTAAACCCTGCAGCACCCCAGAAGATCCTACAAAGTCCAGCAGAAACCCCTTCTAGCATGCCTTCCGCGTGATTCACAGGGAGAGAGAGAGAGAGAGAGAGTAAGCCTAACACCCCCCTACAACCCTTGGTAATTATGGATCCCTTAAGCCGAACTCTTAACACCCCCCCTACTGTAAACCCTAAACCCGAATAAACAATCCGCAAATCAGGCCCTTGGAGGCCCCTTGGTCGACTTTTTGGCGGCGCTGCCGCATTTTGACGTGCAGTGGCCTGCCGAGAGTGGCGAGGAACTTTGGTCGCAGTACTTAAGGGCTCTCAGGGGACTTAGCAAGGAGGGTTATAATGGGATATATATATATACATATATGTATATACATATACACCCTGAGTGGGGTTATCCTCTTCATAAAACCTTGCTTATATCCTTACTTACTAAGGACTTTGGGCGTTGAAGCAGGGTTGGGCTGTAGATTCGCTTGGAGTGTACACAGACGTTCGTTGATTTGAAACATTTCCTATCTGTTTGGAGTAGATGACCCTTGTGTGTGTGATGAGGAAGCTGCTACATCATATGTGTTTTGTGCTTGATGTGTTCATGAATACACAGGAATAGGCCTTTCCTTGCACTGTCAATCACTAGCAGCTGAATGAGTAGACTTTACATTTGCTTTTGTTTTAGTACGGTTGATGATATAAATCCTGCATTGCCTTCAGGACACTAAACTATGGGAATACTCTATACCTTGTTTTGGGTAATGCGGGATTTATACCATCAACCGTACTATCCCTTATACAGCTGAAACTTCAAACTTTCTTCAGCTGATGAACTCTGCAACTAAGTACCCTATAGGGATCTTTAAATAACAAGGGCTTCCTAAGTTGGCAGAATAGGGACCTATAGTAGATAATGTGGTTTCCTAAGTTCGTGGTGCACCAGCAACTCCCGAGGAAGCCGGTTCAGAGATCCGCGTTCTCATGAGACCGGTGCCCAAGGAGGACCAGGGTATTAGGGTTTAGGGGTTTAGGGTTTGGGCTTTCAGGGTTTGGGCTTTAGGGGTTTAGGGTTAGGGTTCAGGGTTGAGGGTTTAGCTGACTACTTAGCAGATAGTGTTGAATCCGCAAGCACTGACTCCCTAAGTCCTAAACCCTAAACTGTTGTGAGTGCTGAAACCTTAAACCCCAAACCTTGACTCCCGAAACCCTCCTAAAAACCAGAAGCCACCCAGCCCTGACACCCTAACTTCTGCTGCAAGGATCAAGGGACTTGGTACGCTAAGCTATGCACGTACCTATACAGGGTTCCTTCAAGGGCACTATCTACAACGTTTACACTTCGTGTTTAGGAAGTTTAGGGTTTGGGGCGTAGGAGAGTTTAGGGTTTAGGGCCTCCGAGTGGACCGTTTTTCCCCTTGTTGTGGTCCTACGGTTGATGATATAAATCCTGCATTACCCATAATAAGGAATATACCATGAATTCCCAGAGTTTAGGGTCCTCAAGGTAATGCAGGATTTATATCATCAACAGTAGGGTCCTCATAAAAACTACCCCAATCTCTCAAAGCAGGGGAGCCAGGTTTCTGGGGATCCTGGTAGAGGGAAGGTCTGAGATGCTAGAAAACATGCATCCTACCCATAGGCCCCTAGGTAGTGACTCTACACCCTAAACCCTAAAACTCTAAACCCTAAAACTCTAAACCCTAAACCCTAAACCCTTAGTTCCTTTTTGGGAATACCCTATAGGGTTCTAAATATAAACCACAAAAAGGAACTACTTAGGGGCCTATGGGTACTTACTGGCTTGGTTTCGGGTGCACTAGTGGCCGGGCGAGCTCAGTTCCAGCCTCTTGGGACAAAAGGGGTACACATAACCCGAGTGGAGTCGCCGCAGGCCAGTTGCGAAAGGGTTTACCCATAGGCCCCCAAGTAGTTCCTTCTTGTGGTTTATATTTAGAATCCTATAAGGTAATGGCACAAAGGAACTGCTTAGGGGCCTATGGGCAGTGTACCTTTCAAGCAACTTGAAACTTGGAACTCTGCAAGGTTTTGCTTAGCCCTAACGCCGACGCCCTTCTAACCGCCTCAGCAAACCCATACCACAAATCCCTCCGAACATCAGCATAAAAAAAACACGAAGGGCCGATGAGAAAGAAGCAAGCAAACCAACCTGGCCGGGACATTTTTCAAACAAACAAGCCAACCGAGCTCTAGAAGCCCATTCTGCCCTAAACCCCAAACCCTAAACCGAATTCTAGGATGATCTCCGGCCGGGCATGGGCCAGTCCCTCACCTTCACCGTCTCAGAGCGCGAGGACCTGTGGCGGGTGGTTCTGCTCGGGCCTCGTGCACAGGTGGGTTTAGGGTTTACGGTTTAGGGGGGACACCCAATAGACCGATACGGTTTTCGGGTTCAGGGTTACGGGTTGTGGAATTGGGGCATAAATCCTAAACCTTAAACCCTCAAATCTACAGGTTCAACCATAATTCCTAGCAGACCTGAAACCCTAAAAATCTAGACGCCCAACCTTATAATAAAACCACCCTACCTTCCGTTGAACCATACCGACCCTTAAAAATGTAGTACCTTTTTTGGGTTACCCTTACTTTCTTATTATAGGATCCTAACCATAAAATGGGTCATCCCAAAAGAGGTACTACGTTTAAGGGTCTAGGTAAGCCCGCGACAGGTGGAGATCCCGGAGATCGAGTTCTTGTTTCAACCGAAGAACCGACGATGTGTCGACACGGTTTACAACTTGATAGCTTCTGCCGTCTTCAACTTGGGCGACCATGTAGCTCCACAGAGGGTTGAGGGGTTGGTTTAGGGTTTAGGGTTTAGGGTTTGGGGGGGGTCTAGGAGGTGGCTCCGTAGCACTGTTTCTAAGGTTGAGTCGAGTTCTGTGTCGTTTTGCCTATGTTGCATTTCTCTTCCGGGTTGGTGGCCCCTTGTAAGATCCTATCCGCCCTAGCCAGAACATTTACGGTGTTTTATTCTTAATGAGCCTTTTTATTGTCTACTGGAGTTCTCATGGAGTGCAGGAATTGCGTGTAAGAAATAACAACTCGCATAACAGGATGGAAAACTCCAGCGAGCCAGAACGTACAAGTGTTCAGACCTTTTGTGAACAACAAGGACAACAAGCCATACATATATACATATACAAGGTTTATACATATATATATGCGTGTGTATATATATATACATATATGCATAATGACGTACTTTTTTGTTCATTCAGTTGTGTATGTGTTGATTTATACCCATACATATGCAATATACACCTGGAACTCCGGACTTAAACACCTAAGGTACAGAAAAATCGCCGCATGGGTGGCGCTATCAGCGAGGAGGAGCTGCTTCTGATCTGTGAGAAGATCGACCAGCTAAACACCCTGCTGGACATGGAGCAGCCTTTCACCATCCGTGTACAAGACAAGCAAGGCGCGAGCTTTTCATCTTGAACACCCTGAAACCTGTAAAACTCAGATCCTATATAATCAAATAAACAAATATATATATATGTGTATGCATACATATATTGTATACATATACATATACATATACATATACTTATACATATACATATATATATATGTATATTTGTCTAGAAATCGCACACTCTAAACCTCGTGAGGCCTACAGGAGCCCTAATTAACCCCAGCCAGCTCAAAAATAGCCTCTTAAACCTCAAAAAATCCTTGCATTCTGAATCCTTGCAGCCTGTGGCTTGAACAAGATACATACCTACCCTAAAACTTTCCTAAACCCTAACCCTAAACCCTAAACCCTACCAAAAAACCTAAAGCGAAGGCCTCTCCGAGTTCAAGCCCTCTAACGGCGTGGTGATCTTGCCTGTGGCAGATGACGCCCCACCGCTGGGCGAAGACTACGACTAGAGCCTGATGTGGGAGCTTCTCTAGGGTTTTTAAGGTACCTTGTGCTAGTCATACTGAGCATAAACCCTAAACCCCAATCCCTAAACCTTCAAACCGTGAACAGTGCCAAACCCTAAACCCTAAGCCCTTAACCCTAAACCCCCTAAACCCTGAACCCTAAGAAAGCGTTTCAGGCTCTAGGGGCCACCGGCCAGCCATCCGCAGCCCCAGGCTAGGCACAGGCAGGGTGAGGATGAGCCTGACGCGCATTACTTAGGAAGCCGCCTGAGCTTGGGACATCGATTTGAGTTTAGGGTTTAGGGTTTATGGGTTTAAGGGTTTAAGGGTTTAGGGCATATATGGGACTTTCCGGAAATTAGGGGTACCTTATTTTGGGGGTCCTTATAATAAGGATCCTACTATTTAGGGTGCTATATTAGGATCCCCTATTTTCGGAAACCCCCATGTGGTATAACATTCTTTATTGCATGATGTTACTTTATACTTTATCATAGTATGTTATATTGCAGGAGCTTTAGTATGTTTGGCTGTAGCAAGTCACAGACTATTGACAAGATTTGTTCTTGCTCAAGCTAAACCCTGAACCCCGCGCCAAAAATCTAAACCCCAAGCCCCATGCACGGGATTTAGGGTTTAGGGTTTATAAGGTTTAGGGCTGATAGGGTTTAGGGTTTCGGGTTTGGGGTTTTGGCTTTCTTGGTAGACCAGCTCACTGATCAATGAGAGCCGTCCTCTGTCCGCAGTTCAGGTGTGTAGCGATAAGCCGCCGGCTCCGAATGGCTCAGCCACGGATGCCCAGCGCAATCCACCATCAATGGCGAGACTGCAACAAAAAACAAAAGCATAGGGTTCGTATGTCGATGATTCTGGAACAGCCGGACAAGACATGATGACATATGAGAACCGTCGTTACGTTTGGAAATACATGGGCCTGAATTTCTGAAAGATGCTTTTTGTGTCTCATCAAATTGTCACTGGGTACATGAAGGTGCTCTCTTTATAGCTACTGGGCTATTAGTATTTTTCATGAACATTCAGGAACCTTCCAGAATGCAAGCTACGGCACTGGGGGTATGTCATGGTGGACGTGTTGCCGAGCATCGAACATGCTTATCTTATCACCACTTGAGCGAAGTAAACAACAACCTGTTGTGAGTGCTCCCTGATAAGGATTATACAAGATAGGTCACAGGTCTTTGTCGGCTTCCCGTGGCAAGCTTCCCTCGTAATGATCCTGCCATAAGGGGGGAGTCCATATCTGCACGGTTTTTTCAAGTAGGAATCGCCTTACATCCTGAACCACCTCCCGACCGGGTGCGGTCCCCGAGCAACAGTCCAAAGACCCTACACACTCCACCCTTAACTGTCGGCGAAAAAAGCCTTTAATGTAGAAGCTTGGTTAATTGGAAGTACTATTCCAGCAGGGTTTCCTGCTACCTTAACCTACCAAAACCTAACTTTTTGTAGGGTCCCTATGCATTCCGCATTAGGGTTTTTGTAAGAACCTACAAAAACAGTAGGTTTTGGTAGGTTAAGGTATATTTTTACAGTATACTATACCTTACTGAGTTGCTGATCCGACCTTCCCCGAGCCAGGCCTCGACACCTGAGCTTTCGCCCTGTTGCAAGCGCTGGGATTGCTGAAGATACACTAGCTAGTGCTGTGCCCTAGGACCCTAAGTCCCTAAACCCCTGAATCCCTAAAAACCCTAAATCCCTAAACCCTCCTAGAAGACAGGCTCAGCCGAAACCGCAACCTGCATCTTCGACTCCTTCGCCCCTTAGGCTGGTCCCAATCAGTTTCTTCAACCCCTAAACCCTAAACCCCCTAAACCCTAAATCCTACCTGGGACTCCAAAGACCTATCGTTTCAAGGGATCTACCCTCTATTCAAGGGGTCATAACCTACTATTTTGTCGGGTTTGGGGTCACAGGTATAACCCTTGCACTCAGCCCTCGAAGCTTTAAAAATTCCGACACAAACATCCCCAACAGCATACGCCTTCTCCCTAAGAGACGTGCTCCAGCCTATCATGGTATAAGCTTATGGGACGTTGCTCTTGATGTTTTCGAAGGGGGGCTTATAGCTTTAGTTGCTTGGCCTCCCAGCCTCACCAGCCGAGGTATGCACTGACGACCTCCCAGGCCACAACGAGATCAAAAGTGGCTCGTCTCTCATTTTACAGGAGCATGGGAGAAAGAAGATTAGTTTCTGGGATTCCCTCTGAGGGCCTCAAGAATCTTGGCGTCCCAACTGTCTGGCTTCTATACTTTAATTGGGCCTTAGGGGCTGAGTAGATAACCTTTAACCTTTTGGGGCTTATATCAACCTTTTATAATTCAAAAGGTTAACCTTTTTTGGGCTAAGGTACTCGGCCCCTAAGGGGCTTAACGGTGGTTCAAGAGTTCAGGTAGGCTTTGGGATTTTCGCTCTTCCAGGCTGGAAGACGTATGTTATGTGCTCTTCACGGTGCCAAGAGTGTCTGCAGATCCATGTACGCACTCTCCATCGTTCCGTGATCTTCCCAAACCTTGCCAATCTAAACCCTAAACCCTAACCTAAACCCTAACCTAAACCCTAAACCCTAAACCTTAAACCCTAAACCCTAACCTAAACCCTAAACCAAACCCTACACCCTAAACCCGAAAATCTAGGGTTCCGAAGGGTTTCCTTAGGCGAGACATCGAGGGCCGCCACCAAGGTCCCTGGACCCATGGACGACCCCAGAGGGGTCCTTCGGTTGATGATATAGTGATATAACTCCTGCACTACCCATAATAAGGAATATATCATAATTCCCACAGTTTAGGGTCCTTGAGGTAATGCGCGATTTATATCATCAACAGTTGCGGTTCGAACTGAAAGCAGATGAATCCGGCAAGTGGATACCCGTATCCCGGAAAGTTGAACCCTAAACCCTTCAAAAAGAGCCTAATCCTAAGCCCTGTAGAAACCAAAAGCCCTTAAAAACCCTGTAAACCGACCCCAGAAACCCCTTATTCAACATTCTATGAAGGGCCCTCCAATTAAAACCAGATGGAGGCCCCGCACACCCTAAATGATTTAAATGCTGGTTCACGGTGCCCCGTTTCAGAAGGATTGTAAGTTAGACAGTGGGGTGCCAGGATTCTTTCACAGCGGTCTTCTTGTTTTAGGGTTTAGGGTTCAGGGCAGTGGTCTTCTTGTGGTGATGTGAGGCTACTCCTCCCTGATCTACAATGCCGAGCAGTTGACCAAGCGCCTTGTTTGCGAGGCTAGAACACACCCTAAACCCTAAAACCCTAAACCCCTAAACCCCTAAAGCCTAAAACCCCAACCCCAAACCCTAAACCCCCGAAGTTTGGGGTTCGAAGTCCTCAAGCGTCTTGAGGAATGGCAATCCATGGTTACGGGGGGCTTGGGGTGTTGTTAGGGGTTTAGGGTCCTATAGAGTGGTAGTGAAACCAGCACACCACAGCCGTTGATTGCAGGATGTACATGTTGACAGCGGGCCGAAGACGTTGCAGAATCGCTTGGCTTTGCGTAGCTCGTGAGACGAGAGAGGGCTAGCACGACTAGTTCGTCATATCTTCAGGTTCATCTACGCTAGGTCGCACATTAATTCAGCATGCTTCAAATGGTTCATTAAAACCCTATACGTGAAATTCCCTTCTGCATCTGTTGTAGAGCAAGAAAGTTCTGTAACCCCCCAGCCTCGAAGCATTGGCACCGCAAAAGCCCAAGCAGGGAGACCCACTATTTCGAGATGTGTGCTGATCTAAGAGGGCTTAGGACAAGTTGGGTTCAGGGTTCAGGGATGTTTTCGCGAAAACGGAGGCTATGATTGCTAAGACTCCGAAAACATGTGTATTTAGTGTCAAGCCTCATCGAGCACAAAGGTGTTAAAGTTTATGATAAAGTGTGTAACCTCCATGTTACGGGTGTTGTCGTGGAACCTCGCCTGCCTTGTGCGAGCGTGAGAGTCGAAACCCCGAATAATTCCTGAAATCCTGAACCCTTGTGATTAAACATTAATTAAACCAACCCTAAACCCTAAAAACCCTAAAAACCCTAAAACCTAAACCCTAAAAAATCCGAGGCCATGTCAGACCTAACGTCTAGATCTCAAGCCTTTTAGCCCTAAGTGCCACAACGCTGAGGACGGGCGATCCACTCAGTTTTTTCCCGCTCAGCGGCTGGGCGAATCGGACTTTTGCTGCCTCTCTCCTCAGGTTTGTAGGCTTTGGCGCTGTGGGTTTGGGGGTGGCGCCCTCATGACCGCTATCTGGTCTGTTTTCTTGCCAATCAAAGCGATTAGGAGAAGAAGGCGTGCTTGTTGCATATGATCATCATCATGGAGTCGCGGCGGGACTTGAGTTGTGGAATGGCATATTTCGCTGTGGTGGAACGAGCCTGTATATCGAGAACTCACTTCAATCCCTATACCCTAGGCCCAAACCCTGAACTCCTACATAAACCCTAAACCCTACAAACACTAAACCCTAAGCCCAAATCCTGAACTCCCTAAACCCTAAAACCCTAAACCCCTGAACCCCTAAACCCGAAACCCCTAAACCCTAAACCCCTAAACCCCTAAAGCCCTAAAACCCTAAAGCCCCCTAAACCCTGCCTAGCGCCAGTGTCTGCGAGGATTCGGGAAGAAGGATCTTCGGGTCCCCCAGAGTACCCTCAAAGGGTTCTCCAGGGTTTGGGGTTTAGGGTTTATAGGGTTTATAGGGTTTATAGGGTTTATAGGGTTTATAGGGTATAGGGTATAGGGTTTATAGGGTTTTATGTGTACTTTAACTGTTTTGGTGTTTTAGAGCTCTACAGCGGTCTCTTAAGACGAGGCTCCCCAGTAGTGCGTTTAGGCAACTGGTTGCCTTCTTGAACCCTTCTTCTAACTTTTCGTAGCCATTATCGTCCATGCATGTCTTAAAGCGTACGGGTTGTTGCCCGTTTGCCAAGGCTTGAGCAGAATTGATAAGGCCGAGAGTTGCTGCTTGAGTGTACTCTTACC